TACAGTATAGAACCATGGAAACATTTCTTATCTGTTTCAACTGAAAACTTTATTGAGCTTATTTTGATAGACCTTGTCACGGTTTTCGACGCCATCTTGACGAGTACGAGAATCTAATGTCGAATAATTTCCGTAGAACGGCTGTTCTGAAAAAAATATGACTTGTAAACTAGAGCTTCACTCCTGAGGATTCTCCTGAAAAAATTTGGGGGCGTTACATTCACTTGAAGACCTAGAACCACTTTTTTAAATTTTCTATGCATTTGTCTGTAAGAAAGTCCCGGGAAAATTACAGACAAATATATGGAAAATCCAAAACAAGCCTCTGGAGAAATTTAAGCACAGGTACGCCCCCAAAATTTTTTAGGACAATCCTTTGCATTGTAGCTTTAGTTGACAATAGATATTTTTTTCAGAACAGCCGATTTATGGAAATTATCCGACATTAGATTCTCATACAAACAATGTAATTTCTCACGCGTTTGCCTACTCGTCAAGATGGCGTCGAAAACCGTGACAAGGTCTATAGGCACAGAAAAATTAATCGCTATCTAGGAAATTACCTGGTTGGTTTCTTCAGTCTTCGTTCTTCGTACAATTAAAGTTCTAAACATACAGCTCGTGAGGAAGTATTTTTTTGGAGGGGTTTAAACTTATGCTGACAGTCAAACCTTTTTACAGCGTGTTTACAACGACCTTTTCTGGCCGTGAAGGATTTTTTACTGGTGAACTTACGACTAATCAGGGATAATGAATTTCAGTTTCAATACACTCGTTCATTAAAGTTTGTAATTTTCTGGTGTGATGGGCACTATGATGCCCAGAGGATGCCCAGATCCTCGGATCCTCCCTTCCCCTCCCCCCCCTTGCCGCTTGGGTCTTTTAGAAGATAAAATATCTTTCTAAACGTTGATTACAATGAAAAAAATTGATTCTTCACCTGCATTAGTTCCTGATAATTTAGCTTTGTATCTTGTGCGTGCATATTACTATTACTAATGAAACATGCTACCAAAAACTTGAGGCAGAAGGCCTCTATACCATGATTAAAAAGTTTTCAAAACTTTGTCAGAATGATTGAATAGTTGATTTAACACTGAGTATAGCACTCAGTTCTTTTTTTCACCGAGTGTTGCTGCACCAAATGAATTAAGGAGACTGTAATTTGATGTACTCAAGCAGAGATGTTGAGCCTTATAGAGCTTTTAAGGAAAAATAATGAGAAAAATACCATTTTTACTTCTCTAATTCGGTCAGTTTGTTTTAACATAGTCACCTCACTATTTAGTAATTTCTGCTGCCATTTTGTGATAAGGTTCCTCTTTCATTTCAATTTAGTTGTAGCCTCAAATAGACGACGCCATTTTCCCCAGACAGACCATCAGACTACACAACACCAGATCAGCTGGTCAGAGCAGACAGCCAAATCAGGTCACCATATCAGACCAGAGCAAGAGACCAGACCATCAGACCAGGTCAACAGACCAGACCAGACCACTATCAGATCAGACAAACAGACCAGACCATCAGATTAGACCAATAGAACAGACATATAAACCTGCAGACCCCTTACCAACATCAGTCAGCCTCGCATCAGCAAAGAACGTCCAGCCCAACTGAAGATAAATAATTCTTCATTCAGGTCAGGTGCATTCTTTGTGGGTTGGGTTAAGGGCGGTATATAGTGCTCTGGATAAACCTTGCAAAGCATACTCTCCACACACGTTCGGCTCGAAGTCTACGGACGTCTTATTCGGCTTAATTTAATTGTAGTTAGATTAGCTAGGGGTTCCCTGGGCTGGTATGGGCCTCCCCTTCCTTTTCCTTTAGGCTGGGTTTCTTTGCAGGTATTCGATCAGCGTCAGGATTTCGGCTTCGTTAAAATTAGGTTCGGCCTTCGATTCGACGTCTTTTTGGCTTTTCTTCGACATCGTCGACCGTTGTCTTCGTCACTGGTCACCGTCTCGCTTCAGTCTCCCGCGTAGTTGCGCAAAAAAAGATTTTTCAATTACACTTCACTTGACAGTCAACGCGCTGGGTAAGTGAAGCTTTCATTCGCAAGGTTTAACCAGAAAACGATTACTTTAAGTCCTAATTTAGCGCACCAGAGACTTTGGACCATTCAACTGCTGTGAGGGGACCTGATTTGGCCACCCCCTAACGGTTTAGTGGTTTCTCTGGTTACAGGTAGATAGTTAGTTAGCCTCGCAAATTTGGGACTGCTTTTCTCGACCAGAAAACGCAATACATCTTAAAGAAGAAAAAATAAACTTCTGAGCCATTCTTCTTGGCTTTTTAAGGAGCCTAAACTCAAAATGCCAGGGTGACAATTAGATGTGCTTCAAAAATATATCAAAACGTTTTGTGGTTCCAAATTTGTGAGAGTAGGTTCAGAGTAGATTATTTTATAGTTCTAGTCTTGCAAACAGGTAACGTGTGGCCAGGCCTTCCTTCCCGTGAAGTGTCAGCGCCTTGTCACAGGTTACAACAGGGCAGTATG